CGTATGCGTCACGTAAGACCTTTACCGCTGCGAATATGCGTGTGCGCATGCGCATAATACGCTTACGCATGCACGTTTAATGTATAATGGACGGTATAAGCTAAGCTAAAATTATCTACCGTAATTTCCGGAAGAAACGCTGCGGCGTTTACGTGTTTAAAACTTAAATTCTCAGCGGGTGTGGCGTTTTAGGTGCACTAAAAATAAAATATTTCCTATGATGGTCATTGTACATAGTTTGGATGGCCTTGTCATTATGCATAGACTGGTGCTGTTCCCACACAAAAGACCAGTCAGTTGCTTTTTGCGAACGTTAGTTATTTTGTTTACATTCTTTCCCTTAACAGACCTACATGCCTTATTCATCCTAAACGAGATCTCAGAACAATAACATTCTTCCCCCTTCCAAATCAACATTCTCATCAGTTTGCATAGTCTCTCTCCTCTGCCAGTGGATTGACATATTTCCCCTTCAGCATGAATGGATTTTTCTTGGCATTCTGCCAGATACAGATCCCATCAGTTTGGGTACAAGTACTTGCTGGATAGTTTTTAAGTAAGAAGGGAGCGGAAAATTTTTGAAAATGTCCCTAAACGGCACAGAAGCTATAGTGCTAGTTTTAAGCTTAATGGTAATTTCACGTGCTAAACAAATTGGAAATCGAGCAGCAGCTTGAGAGTTTGAAGTGGACGACAGATGTACTCGACGTTGGAGAACTGAAAAAGAACTTAAAAATATGCCACAACAGAAACCAGCCAAAAGAAGTGGTACTTTAAGGTGGCCAAATCTAGAGACCGACCTTGCAAACTGGATAAAGGAGCAACGAGGAAAGGGAATGGCAATTTCGACTGTAAAAATTCGCTTACAGCAAAATTTATAAGCAAAACGAATGAACATAAATGATTTCAAAGGAGGTATAGCAGATTTATGAAAAGAAAAAATATTTCATGCGTACTAAAACAACAGTCGGGCAACAATTACCAATGGACTGGCAGGATAAAAAGTCATCTGCCAAATATGTGACAGCTACTATTGACAAAAAAAAAAAAAAAAAAAAAAAAAAAAAAAAAACGGCCACAAATAATAAATATGGATGAAACGCTGTTAGCTTTCGACTCTCCTGCAAACAGGACAAAACTGGTGCAAAAACTGTATCTGTGTTTATGACAGGGCATGAAAGAACGTCATTTACATGTGTGTTAGCTTGAGCCGCAAACGGTGACAAGCTAACGCCAATGTTCATTTTTAAACGAAAGACTGTTCCGAAGGGAGATTTTCCTAATGACGTAATTATTTGTGCAAATGAGAACGGCTAGATGTGCGAAACAATTATGCATGAGTGAATACAAAAAGTTTGGCAGTGTCGTATGGGATCTTTTTTCCAACCAAAGAGGTTATTGATAATGGATTCCATGCGTGCTCATTTCTTTGAGTCAGTGAAAACCAGATGTCAAAAATTGTCTACGACCGAAGCAATAATTCCTGGTGGTTTGACAAAATCTTACAACCGTTAGATTTGTCAGGTAATAAATCCTTCAAAGCTGAAGTCCGAAAGCGGTAGGAGTGTTGGATGAGTGAAGGATTGCATACGTAAACCAAAAGCGGTAGAGTGCGTAGAGCATCTCATGAAGAAATTGCAAAGTGGGCAGGAAGTGCATGGAAATCGGTAGAAACATCGTCAATAATAGCAGGGTTCAAAGAAGCTGAAATTATATCCTTAGATAAAGAGACTCTAAACCAAGAGGATGAATGCGACGATCTGGTAAACTTAGATCAGGATTTACTAAATCTTTTTAATTCAGATAGTGAAGAATCAGATTTTGATGGCTTCATATGATGTATAGTTTGCTGTAATTCGTAAGGAAAATTTAAAATTTCCTTTTGTCATCCAAATTTAATATTTCGCTGTTGCAACATTTTTTATAATAATAGTCTGAGTATTACAAATACGGACTTCTTTAGTGGGTAAATATAAGTATATACGTGAAGGTAAATATATTTTCCACATTTCTTACCTTTAATTTATTTTTGAGTTATGGTTTCATTTCATGCATTTTTCTTAACTGGTATGTCATACGTCAGGACTTAGGTTGAGTTTTTGCATCTATATGGCCCACGATGATGTCACGCGCAATTTAATCTATTGCAGCGTTTCTGTGTAATTTAAATTTTTTCCCCGCCATTTTTCTCGAGTGCGGCATTTGTGCTGATGTGGCCTTTCTTCCGGAAATTACGGTAATTCAGTTAATGTTGCAGATTGCGCTGTTCCTTAATCTTCGAATTGGATCTGGCTTATTATTTTTTGCAGACTGTTAGAGCAGATTTATAAAAGTAAGCTTGAACTTTCGATTATGTCAAATAGAATTTCCGATATATATTTACTAATATGTAAAGGATCTGCAAAGCGAAAGTATGTTTTGAAGTCCATTAAACAAAAAGTGGAATTGCTGCAAAAAATGGATAAAGGCATATCCTTTGTTTATCTAACCATTCCGAAATCTGTTTATCAATTTCACGCTGCTCCGCGGAGGGGGAAAATGCCACAGTGCGCAATGAATTGGAAGTTGATCTGTCAGCACTATCCTTATCTTCAGGGCATATGTTTTTAATTTTATTTGGCTTATAATTCCTTACTAAATGTAGTAGTTCATCTCGATATACTCCGTCTTTGATATGATTTAAATCAAATTCCTCGTCATTATAATTCACTTCTGATAGTGAAGAAAGTGACACAGAGGTTATTGAAAACGAAAAAATTTTGATTGACAAATTAGTCGGTATTCTCGACACAGCAATTATAGGACTTCAACAGCGGAACTTTGTAACTGAAGAAGAAATTATGTCTGTTTATAGAATTAAAGAGAAAGTATTATCACATAAAACGAAGCAACTTAAACAACTTACATTGAAAGAAATGTTTAATAAAGTACAAACAAATATAAAACGCTTTTTTTTTTGGTAAATTTTGATACCCTTTAGATCATAATTGTTCTTTATTTCATAAATTACGGTTTCATATTTTTAATTTTATATTTTCTGCATGCCATCTTACCAGATTTAAACTGATGATCTATAATCCGGAATCGCTGAAGTCCCAGCGAGTCCGGATTAACGACTTTTGACTGTATAAGCTATGCATGAGTATAACCATACATGCATCGAGCAAACTGATTCATTAACAAAATAGGTGAACTCTTTCTATATTTTCCTTGTTTACTTTACACAGAGTTCAAAGACATAATAAAACAAGAAAACAATTACTTCTTATAGTCGAAGTGCATATGCTTGAAAACTTATTTAATAATTAACAATAACTGCAGTTTTGGAATCTAAAGTACAGATACCATAAAACAGATTCAATAAATTTGCTTATAAGCTAATGATGAATTATTCATATGAGTGTTATTTTAATATATTTTTAAATAATAATCAGTAACCATATCATTTATAGATAAAATCACTTTATGAGATCCATATGAAGTTCATAAAAATAATTAACAGATTAAAATAGTAAAAAAAATTAAAAAATTAAATATTAATTTTTCCCATTATGCATCAAAACAAATCATAAGCAGTTGACTGAACTAATTATTTTTAGCTAGCCAAATTTTCCCCCAAATTAAGTTGTAAATAGAAATATTATTGCCAAATTGAATTAAATGATGATTCTGTCTTTAAATAGAATCACATTCCTATGCTTTTAGGAGTTATACACTATTTCAACAGTATTTTTATATACTTGTTAGAAACTAAACTGACACATTGTCTATACAAATGTTTCTCAACTGGATTTACTCCAAGGACTGCTAAAATATTTCGGTACGTTCTTGCAGACTGGGAAGTTTAATAATTTGACCCATTGGCACAATTTTTTTCCACATAAATAAAATACTAAACTAGTCAACTATTGTTATTGTAATGTAGGTGTGGCTGTTATAATATCTTGTTGTCGGGCGATGACACTTTGGATTTTGGACAGACAGCTGGATATTTCGCGGACCGGCAAGTATTTATTACGAACCGCCTATCGGTCCGCAGTCCAGTGGTTTAGAAACACTGGTCTATACTTTAATTAGAATAGTACAAAAACTTAATTGGCATACATCGTTTAATCCCTGATTTAACTCTAAATACACAGAGGAAGAGTGCAGTAATATATGCAAAATGCCTTTGCACATTTAAAATCATGACAAGTACGCAATTGATTAAAAAAAAAAACTACACGGAGAAAACTGAAGTGGACAGCCAGGCTGTGTATCTAATTTGGATTCTATAACATTCCTTAAATGCACACTTGATGTTTTATTCTACACGTGCCACATAGTGGCAGCTAATAGTAGGTACACTGCAGACGAAAAAAAAAAAAAAGGTACTGTTCTGTTATCAGGACCGGATTCAGAAATGTATATGTGTACACATACATACATGAATACATACATACATTTCTGAATCCGGCCTGATAACAGAACTTTACCAATTAAAAAAAAAAAAAAAAAAAGAAAGAAAGAAAAAAACAAATGGGATAGTTCTATATCTCCTATTCTACTGGGCCTATTGACAAAATTTAGTTTGTGTTTTTCATTTCTCGAAAGCGTAAATTAGGATATATCCAAATATAATGAACCTTTTCCACATGCATCTTAAGTTCTGGAGTTCTGCTAGATGTAACAGGTATTTTGCAAAAGTGTCAAAATTACACAAGTGATTGTTAAATAATTACTACATCTGTTAACCACAATTTTTTTAGCTTAAGCAATTAATTACAAAGAATATCAAGAAATTGTACTGATCACTACTTCATGAAAGGAGTTCATTCTTAGCATCTGTTTGTCCCAATCATCATTTTATTTCTATGGAAACTGGATTTAACAGTTTTTGGCAGCAATTATAGATTCAAAAAGACCCTTATATATGCCAGAGTAAAATACACAGGAATACTTTATTGTAAAAAAGAGAAAATTTAGTTCCATTAATTAGTGCAAGATATGCAACCACTTACCTCTAGGCAATTTTTTTTGTCATGCGTCATCGCCCCACAATTCTCACAGGCACCTTTTCTATAACGCACACATACTGAATCCTGAAATAAAAATAAATGATTTAAAAAATATATATTATGTAGCTAACAACCTTAAAATATGAAAAGCTGGTATTTCTTCCCACGAAAAAAAGAAATTCCAGGAAATTTTTGTGCTATGCGGAGATGCAACTTCAAATCGACTTAAATTTACCTTTACGGCCCTACGATCACCAAATGTGGCGACGTGCATTCTGTGCTGGTTTTTGGTGCAATTGCATGTTGTATGGAAACCCTTTTGACATTGAAAACTCTTTTGCTGGAGTGGTTTAATTGCTCGTTGGTTCGTGTTGTGCGTGTTTTGAAATGGCCTATGTTGCAATGATAGACGTTATGGCAAGATTTTAGTCGTGTATTTTAGATTGTGTGGAAAATAAATTTAGCATTAAAAGGTACGATGTTGGAGTTGTTAACGAGTCTTTTGTTCAGGGGTGTGTTTATGAGGATCAAAGTGTGGGACTTATAAAACGGAGTCCAAAATGTGGAGCTCCTATGAGAACTCGGACGAAGACGGGCGTTTCTGATAGTACTTGTGTGGATTTGCAGTCAAATGCTTGCTGGTAAAGTATGTGGCTGTCAGCGGAGGATGATTTGGATCATGGTTTTCATGTAGTAAGTTACCATTGGAGGAAGTTTTTATCGTTACTTTCGAAATTTTGAATCACAGAAAGACATGTGATATAGCAAAATCGTGGCACTTTTTTTACAGACGTGTGACTGGCGAAATTTTATTAACGAATGTATTACGGTAACGGCATTTATTTTACTGTTTTTATTTTGTAGAATGTTATGTTCATTTTTTTTACTATGCCTTTCTGTTGTTACTGTTTTTTTTTTTAATTGTTTGTAATTTTAGTTATTTTATTTTGTTGATTTGTATGCAATGGCTAGATTGCGCAATTCGTAGATGTTTTTTTTAAGTTTAAACAGGATGCTGTGTACATGGTATTCTTTGAAATTTATTGTTGTTATATTAATTTATTAAAGCGATATGTGTGTGTAGTTCGTACATTCATTCGTTGCCTAGATTGTGCAATTCGTAGATTTTTTTTTAAGTTAAAACATATTGCTGTGTACATAGATTCTTGTCAAATATTTTTGGTTAGAAACTTTACGTTTTTGCTATCGAAGTTTTTTGTTTTTGTTTCGGATTTTTAGCTTAAATTGTGTGTTCAAAACGTGGTTTTTGCATGTGCAAAAACTATGTTTTTGGAGACATTTTAGGCTTAAAGTTTGAAATGTAGACCAAAATTTACATTGGGGAGGGGGATTAATACTTTACATAGAAAGTTATACAGCTAACTTGGTAATACACTATATATTTATAAGTAACAAAATTAAATACAAATAAAAATTTGAAACCTTTCCGATTTTACATTACGCCCAAATGGGCTTTTTTCTAACATTTTGTGTGTTACCTTTATTTATTAAATATCACGTTCTTCGCACTTAAACCATAATGCTGTTGAAAATTCCTTTCAGCAGCAGTTACACAAAATAATTTTAAAATAAGCATATCTTTAGAATTTCCAATATACAGTCTCACTTGCTGGAGATAAAAATGCCCACCTCTTCCCTGTACAGCAGGGATGTCAAACTCATAGGTACACTTGGGCCAAACAAACAAGGTTTAACTTTAGGCAAACCAAAAAAAAAAAAAAAAAAAAAAAAAAAAAAAAAAAAAAATCAATATTCATAGAAACGTAGATTTATTTCGAATAATACAATAATAAACATATATATATATTTATATAGAAAAGAACAAGAAAAATTTAATGTTACGTCCTGATACTTGACATCTCTTCTCTGCTATTATCTTTCCTATTTCGGGAGAAATTTTGTTTGCAGTGATAACTTTCAATGCTGACCCAAGATGAGCATCATTAATACGGTTTCTAACAGGAGACTTATTACCTTTCATGACTGAAAATAACTGCTCGCATCGATAAGTGCTACAAACATGGAAATAATTTCATATGAGAATTTTCAAGTATTTTCAAACCTGGCTGGTAAATATTTGTAAAATTTAGGCACGTCCACTTCAATGAATTTTGCTTTCAAATTTGAGTTGCATTGAATCTCGATCATCTCCATTTGCATATGGCTGGGTACTGAGTCAATACTTATTGAGAAAAATCGAAGAAAAAAAAAAAAAAAAAAAAAAAAAAAAAAAAAAAATGTCTTTGAGGGAACTAAAATCATTAAACCTCGTTTCAAATTCAGTTGTTAAATTTGCAATTTTTTCTGCGTATTTTTGATACGAACAAGTATCATCTAAACTTGATTTGTTCATGCTGCACGTCGGGAAGTGCGTCAAATCTTCATTTTTAAGTTGTTTTTCCCGAAAGAACTAGTTGACATTTGAATGCTTTAATTATGTCAAACATGTTCGTAATGATATGATCTTTTCCTTGTAACGATAAATTTAAATCGGTTAAGTGTTTGGTTATATCAAAGAAGATAAATCTTGTATCCATATTGGATCGTAAAACAAACTTACGTCTTGATTTTTCGTTTTTAAAAACTGACATATTTCTTCTTTCAAATCCCAGAATTGTTTGTGAGAATCTTGGAGCAAGATAACCAACGTACCTCGGTATAGTAGAACAAACCCGAATATTCACTATCTAACTCACTTGAAAGCAGTGAATTGACGCTGATTTAAACCTCGAGATCTTATAAAATTTATAACTTTTTTTATATATGACAAAACATTCTCCATATTTATTACTTTCGTGCATAGAACTTCTTGATGTATAATACAATGCATATGATGAATGTTTGAACCGTGAATTTCACTAAGTTTTTTTCTTAGTAATGCTACGAAGCCCTTGTTTTTCCCGGTCATTGATGGAGCGCCATCTGTAGCTACAGAATTTAATTTTGCCAAAGGTAGATTGTATTTCTGCAGAAGTCCAAAAACACAAGTAAATATATCTTCTCCTGTGGTAGTACCAGGCATCGGTATTAGTTCCAGTAATTCCTCAAAAATGTTAAAATTCTTGTCACAAGAACGAAGAAACACTGCTAATTGAGCTTTGCCACTAATGTCCGTGCTCTCGTCACAGGCAATGGAGAAACTTTCGAAACTAGATGATTTTGCTTTGATCTGATCACTTAAATTCGCGGCTAAATCAGTAACTCTTTCCGCAACTGTATTTCGAGACAATGAAATTGATTGAAAAGCCTTCACATTTCCAGGACAAACAATTTCTCCAGCTTTCATTAGGCATTCCTTGATGAAATCACCGTCAGTAAAAGGCTTCGAATGTTTAGCTATCAACTCGGACAAGACGTAGCTTGCATGTACCGCCGCTTCACTTTCTTGCAATACTTTACTAAACATGGACTGTTGCTTTTTCACTCCTAACTTGAGCTCTTTCAACTTTTCTTCTCTCATTAATCCTTCGTAATTGTTATATTTCGATTTGTGTTGTTCGTAATGACGTTTAATATTATATAACTTTGGTACATTAATAGTATTATTACATATCAAGCAGATTATTTTATCTTTTATTTCACAGCAAAAATATTCTAATTCCCATTTTACTTGGAATATTCTATGTTCGTCAGCGATTTTTCGTTTAATTTTACTACCACTTGGTTTTGATATAGACATACTGAATACAAAGGGCTGGAATAAACACGGTTAACGTTAAAAAGTTAACAAAAATTTATTTTTTCCACAAGAGATAAATCAAAATGCTGAAATATTTCTTCAAAAATATTCTAACAATATCACAAAATGTCAAACGTTTAGCAAAAATCAATTCAAAACAGAGAAACTAATTTTATCTCACAGCGAAATCGCTACAAATCAATCACAGCATTAAGTAAACAAACAGTTCGCTAGAACTACAGCTACTACTGAGATGAGTTGTTTGTTCTCGGCTTTTATAAGCTTTGTAATTAATTTCTCGAATATACTGGAAACATCTATAAATATCTGGATTTTTGTGGATGGCAACAGCAATTACGAGATATTTATTTATTAGGTATTAAATGCACGTGCTGTTCTATTTTTAACCTTCCAACGCAGCTGTCTTTTCAAAAATCATCTGCGTTGCTAAGGCAACATGAAGCAAATCTAATTAGAATTCTAAATAAAAAAAACTAAATAAATAAATAACTATGAAATCCGTAACAATATGAATTAAGTAATAATTAATAATAAAGCAAAGTGCATGCACATGCATGCACCAATATATCGTACAAAACTATGATTGGAAAACTGAGACCATATGAGTTCGGCCACATTCGGCTATCGGGGGATGCGTACAAGATTCTGAGTGCACGTGTCCCCCAAAAGCCGAAGGTAGCTGAAACGCAAGCTACTCACACGCATTTGTAATTTAAGTGGTGTGTGTGTCAGCTCGCTGTGAGTAATCTAACAACACTGAATAAATTATTATTAATTACTTAGCAGTAAACATTTAATTTTTTTCTTCGTCGATATGTTATTTTATTATTATATATTATTATTTGCCGATATATTGGCCGGGCCGCAAAAATATTTGCTGTAGGCCGCGAGTTTGACATCCTGGCTGTACAGTGTTGCCATTGCTCACTTTGAAATCATTGAGTTTGTTAATCAAAATTTTTTTAATGTCTGACAAAAAATGAAATAGATAATAAAACAAATTCCAAATTTGGGCTTCTTCAAATTTCTTCAAGAAGCCCATATTCGTATGGAGGGCTATTCAAATATAAAAAATGTATTTTAAAGTTTCTTTTTTAAAATGTAATTTGTACATAGTTGTATATATAAGTAAATATTTAGCCTAGAACAGGTTTTGCTTATTTGATGAAGTTACAATTATCGTATAGATTAATGACATTATATTAATTAAGATCTAAAATGTTACAATGTTTTATGCTAGGTTAGACTATTTTAATTATAGTAAATCAAATTAGAACTAGCTGTATTAATTAAGTGACAGCTTCACAGAGGAAATTTGCTCGTATTAATAATTACACACTCAGAAAATCATGAATACGTCCATCCTTCCAGCTCCTTCATGTGGATTTGAAACTGGATTGAGTTACCAATATACAGGAATTTTGATTTTCTAACATAATCCTTTATTTACTTGTGGTGCTCTATGTTTTATTTTACATACTTTTATTATTACAGTTATAGTACAGTACAAAGTCTACGATTCCGGATTTAGGATTTTTCCGGACATTAGATCATCAGTTTAAATTTAGTAAGATAGCATGGAGAAATTATAAAATATGAAATCGTGATTTATGATATAATGAAGCATTTATGATCTAAAGGGTGTCACAATTTACAAAAAAAATTAATATTAATTTGTTTACTTTATTAAACATTTCTTTCAATGTAAGTTATTTATGTAGCTTCATTTTTTGTGCTAATATTACTCTAATTCTACAAACAGATTTAATTTCTATTTCAGTTACAAAGTTCCATCATTCAAGTCCTACAACTGTTGCATCGAGAATTTTGACTAACTTGTCAATCAAAATTTTTTTGTTTTCAATAACTTCTCTGTCATTTTCTGGGCCTAGAACCATACTACAGATTTGCCTTCCATTAACTGATTGATGCAATGAAAAACTTCTATTATATCATCTTCATTTATTATACCACTTCTCCACATTTCTTTACAAAATCCATTAATTGGAAAAATTTCAGCTTTGTTTCACAATAACCGAAAACGTTCAAATTCGCAGCTATCATATCTTCATCATCCTCACCGTGAAGCTGGCCATAAATTAAGCCAAGCATTTTTTAAAGTATCTGGAGACACATCTTGCCATAATCTTGTGATGCTCCACACAGCAGATTTTATGCTAAAATATTTCAGAAATTCTTGCATAGTCTTTGCCATTATTCAATAAATTTAACATGGATTTTAAAAATGCTACTTTATATTTGCATTTCAGCGCACACATTATTCCGATAACCACAAGATGAATAATGGACATACAATTTGAAGGACAGAATAATATGGATACATTATCTTTTACTAAAACTTTAAGTAAAGTATAAGCCAAACAGTTGTCTATAATCAGGACAATTTTTGGGTCATCAGGTAAACCAACCAAATTCAAATGTTGTCGAGCCTAGGGTATGAAATAATTTTCAAACCAATCATTCATTAATGCTTGAGTCATCCACGCGCTTTTATTTGCACAATATATAATAGGGTAAATCTTTACTCCTTTAAAATGCTTGAGGTCACGTATTTTTTCCAATTCTGAAAAGTTTACACTTGTGCATTCCTGCAGCATTTGCGCATGCTAAAATTGTTAGTCGCACATTGGAATCTTTGACACCAGTTGCAGCCTTTTCTGTAGAGGTTGCTAAGGTATTTAGCGGTACATATTGCCAGAAATGACCAGTTTCGTCACTGTTGTAAATTTGTTCTGGCAAAAATTTTTCACTGTTAATGAGTTCAATGAATTCATCTTCAAATAGTTCAGTAGCTCCAGTATCAGCTGAAGCTTTTCAGCCTAAAAGTTTTAATTACACCATGGTGATTTTTAAATTAGGTTAATCAAGGTGTCGAATATGTGTACTCAGTTTTTAGGTTCATTTCTTCAAGAAGTACAGTCAAAAGTTGTTAATTCGGACTCCCATAATCCGGACCTCAAAGCTAAAAACTTTCTGCGCATGCGCCGCGTTGACACATGCGCATAGGCGTTTACATGTGCGCGTAAAACGTTTACGACTGCGCATATGCGTGTGCGCAAGCGCAGAATACGTTTTTGCGTGCACATTTTACGTATAATGGACGGTATACGCTAAAATTATCTAATTATCTATTTCAGTTAATGCTCATGATTGCGTTGTACCTTAATCTTCGAGTTGGATCCGGCTTATTATTTTTTGCAGACTGTAAGAGCAATTTTATAAAAGTAAACTTGAACTTTCGATTATGTCAAATAGAATTTCCGATGCTGGAGCTCCCAAAGGATCTACAAAACGAAAGTATGTTTCGATGTCCAATCAAACAAAAAGTGGAATTGCTGCAAAAAAATGGATAAAGACATGAAGAATGTGACAGAGAGGTTAGTGAAAACGAAAAAATTTCGATTGACAAGTTAGTCGGTTTTCTCGGCCACAGCAATTAACGGGACTTGAACAGCGGAACTTTGTAACTGAACAAGAAATTATGTCTGTTTATAAAATTAAAGAGAAAGTATTATCACATAAAACGAAGCAACTTAAACAACTTACATTGAAAGAAATGTTTAATAAAGTAAACAAATAAATATTAAGCTTTTTTTTGTGTAAAATTTGGTACCCTTTAGATCATAATTGCTCTTTATTTCATAAATTACGGTTTCATATTTTTAATTTTAGAATTTCTGTATGCCATCTTACGAGATTTAAACTGATGATCTATAATCCGGAAAAATCGATAATCCGGAATCGCCGAAGTCTCGGCGAGTCTGGATTAATGACTTTTGACTGTATTTTGGCTTGAGCCATTAGCACAGGACCCGTCAATGGCCAGCCTTTGCTGTGATGCTGTCTGACCCAGTCAATCATCACTTTGCTGATGATTATTAAAAAAAATATTTTTTATGCTAAAAGAATTAAAAATTATTCGTTATGCTAAAAGTGACAATCATTCAAGTTGATGATTTTCACTTTTAGCATAACAAATTATATATCTGTTACTCATTGTGAGTGGAGTGTTGGAATCCACAAGCAGTTCCTTTGCTGTTTTCTTATGTCATATACAGTTGACTTTCCAATGCAATAATCCTCGCATGATTCTGAGATAGATATACCTTTTCCTTTTTTGCAGCAATTTCACTTTTTTGTTTAATGGACATCGAAACATGCTATTGCTTCGTAGATCTTGTTGCAGCTCCAGAATTGGAAACTCTTTTAGACATAATCAAAAGTTTAGACTTTACTTTTCATGAAATTTCTGTAATAATAACAGCCTGCAAAAAATAATAAGCTGGATCAAATCAGAACATTAAGGAACAGCGCAATCTGCTATATTAACTGAAAGTCCTTGGAATCAGTAAAGTATAATTTTAGCCTAGCTTAATAGCTTCTGCTATACATTATTGGCTATGTATCATGAGATTGATGATGAAAGACAAGTTGTTCCGCTAAATTTTGCCGCTTCTACTACATGCTGAGACAATTAAATTAAGCCTGAAATGTATTAGTTTAGTTACTTATTATAGTTACACCTATTTCTTGGACATGCTTAAGGATTATCCTGGTCCTGAATAAATAAATTCTCACATATTAAGGCTTATCAAAGGCTGGCACTAAGTATCTTACTACCTGATGCAGTCTTTGCAGGTCCTAAATTCTGCCACTAAGTTCTAAAAATTTTGTTAATCGGCGCTTCTCTAAATTCCAAAAATTTTGTGTTCTCTAAATTCTACCGCCCGGTGCAGCCATATGAGCTCTGGTACTGGTTCTGGGTTTATGTGAATAACAAATCAGTTATTTTAAATTCAAATAGCACTAAATTTAATCTTTTGGAGTATGAGTATCATTCACAATATTTATTTCTAGCACAAGGAAAGAAATTTTTATTAAATTTTACCTCATCAACATTTCTTAGCATATTTCACTTTAATTTGTAATTATCGATAAGAGCAATGTCAACATAAAAGGTTTCCCCCCTAAATTATAAAAAATTTTCATCTCTTAATTTTGCCGCTCAGTGCTTCCCCAAATTCCAAAAATGTCTTCCCTAAATTCTGCCGCCGCTTCTGGGTTTCTGGTGAATAACATATCAGTTATTCTTAATAAAAACAGCACTAAATGTAATCTTTTGGCCTATGAGTTTCATTAACAAAATCTATTTTTAGCATATGAAAAGAAATTTTTGTTGAATTTTTCCTCGTGGACATTTCTTTTTAAAAAATCTATAATCATTGCCAAGAGTAATGTTAGCAGAAAAGGTTGCCTTACACATTGCTATTCAATTATTAATATAAAAAAAAATTTTAGGTATTGCTGCATGAATCATTACTCAAGTTGTCATATGCTGTGATGAAAGAAAAATATAATAAATAATGATTCCCCAGGTTGGCATCAGAAATACGAAATATTATTAGGTGTAAAATTAACGATGTTTCTATACAGAATGTTTTGGTTTGAGATGTATACCAAGCAGATATGCAGCCAAATTATTGATCACAAAAATTTATGCTCAAGTGATTATTTCTTCAATAAGTAGGTATTTTATTGAGTGCCGAAGTGAAATTAAGAATTGGGACTCTCTACATGTTTTATTAAGCGGGGGGGGGGGGGGGATAAGATGCTCATGCATAAAGCATACCAAAAAAGGGGGGAATTGTTGGTGGCTTTGAATTTAGGATTTTAGATATTTCTGAATATTGGATGCCAGAATCTCAGAGTGTACTTTATATTAAATACATAAAAACCCACTTGTACTTAATTTCGCTTTGATTTGTAAATCCTGTTTTATGCTAAAGTAAAACTTGGCAGAAGATCATCTTTTTTATACTGGATGTCACTGAACCTCTGCCAATTCATGAATGAGAATGTTCTTCCCAAAGTCTTTGGAAGCTAACGCTAAATAGGAGAAAGCATAACTTTGTTTAAATTTTAAAAACTGTCAATTTTCCTTTTTCTTAAAACTTAAGTGCTAAGAAAAATATAGCAGATACTGTCTTATTATGTAATTACAAGTCTGAATGCCATGAAAAATAGCCCAGAAGAAATATGTCTGTCAAAACTGGTAACATTTTTAGTGTTTATGAAATATTCCTTCACAAAAGCAATCAATATTCATAAAAAGCATAAATACATCATTCAAATAAATACATTTGAAAAAATAAATATCAATTTACTTTTAAGCCTCGAACATAATCATCACTAATCTGGCTGAACTTCTTTTGCCGGTCAGGCTGTGGTCTCTGATGTTTCAAAGTCGCTGTTTTAGCACCAAAATACCAGGGAGCAGATGAAATGTATTGCGGCAAATGCGGATTGATATCCCTAAAGCACAAAAATGATTTATCAATAAAATATTTTATAAGCTATCAATAAGTCATAAAAATTAATTAAACATTATTATGACAAATTTCATGTTTAATCATCTGCTCACTTAATATCAAGATGACATGAAAAAAAAAAAAAAAGTTTTCAAGTAAATAAAAAGATATGCTCATTTAAAAACACAGTAAATGATCTTTTTTGCCAACTTCATGTGCAGAATAAAATCACACATGCAGTGGTATAAAGTAGAATTCATGCGATTTACACCGCTTCTCTCCTCCAAAAAGGGGAGGGAGAATAAATGGGTTTTCTCTGATGATGATTTTGGTAGAGCTGGGATTAATTACTAGGCATGTGTTTATAGGATACCAATGCACAAGAGAATAATTTTAAAAATTCTATTCTATTATTTTTATATTTAAAAATTATAAAGTGTCTCTCCCTTTCTTTATTTTTAGGTCAACAAAGAGTGAAAATTTGAGCCTCATTCCTGACATCAGTTTTTGTTTTCCTTATGTGTAATGTGTATACGAGTCAGTTTCCCTTAGAAAGTCCTCCACGAAGACATCCCTCCCCTTAGGCAGATAGCACTAGTGTGCTTTGCCATAATTAAATACACCACACCTGACATCAGTTACTTTTTCATGCTACTTTGAGAGGTTAGATTTTTTTTATAACATTTTCCATTTATCAGGGATGTTTTGAGGAACAGTAAATAAATCTACAAAGAAAATAAACATGTCGTATAAAATACAGAATGAAAAGGAGCCACGTAAAATATAGGTTTAAAGAGAGAAGTCTCTTTAAACATATATTTATTAATTTCTCTTTAAACCTATATCTAGATAACCAGATTTTATGTAAAGTTTTGTTGCCCAACTGGGATAGTGATTAACGATGCCAACTGTCGTACCAAAGGAAGGGCCAGGGTTCGAATGTCAGAGAAGGCATTGGTGTTTGTAAATGTATTGTGTCTGTGTGGCAAGCATGCACTCTAAATATGCGGCAAGCCGAAGTCCTCTCGAGAGGCTAGTGGTAAGGTAGGAGGGAGACCCTCGGACACATTCCTGGGTTCTCTCCATTAAAATTGGGGGTAGAACTGAGCAAAATCCTACTCTCACCTGTGAATCGTTAATCCTTGGTGGGTGCTTAGGCTTGCAACTATCGATGGTATAACTCAAAGGCCAATAGCATTAATTAAGAAATAAGTGCATATGCAAAGCACTGAAAAACAATATTTTCCATGCTAAAACAGTTTGTGTTCTTTAACGCGCTGAGCGCGGCAGCAGTCCCTGGGGGTCGGCAGTGAACTTTCCGTGTGGCCAGCGTCGCAATTTTCGTTTGGCTGGCGTCGGTCCCCGGGAACGACAGTATTAAAGTTAAAAAATAAATATAGTCTCAATGAAATGTGATCAAATTTAGTTTTTAATGAAATGTATTGAAACATTCTAAACAAAAATACGGCTTAGCTCACTGCCGGCTGAAGGACAGCAAATTCCGCACCGCTCTCAACATGTTAAACACAAATTGAAAATAACGAGAGGACAGTCATCGAATTGGCGATGAGAATCCACTGGGAGAAGTGCCCCTGGAGTCAACTGTTTAGTATACTAGATACCGGAAATATATAGAGGGCACCGTCAAACATGAAACCCTTTTAAGGCAGAAAACCTGGTAAGGTACAAGAGCTGGTTCAAACCCACTCTCAGAATCAACTGTTCTTCCCCTCTGCTCCACATGGCTACAATTATACATAATCAAAGATTTTAGAAATAACTTGACTTATAGAAATAAATATTAGCGAAAATGTGATAATGTTATTGTATTTATTTCAAGCTCATTTTAAAAAAAATGCAGCTGTTTATCAGACTTTGTTGACCGCACAGGATGAACTGTGTAAAACAACAAATTTCCTTTTACATGTTACAAACTGTGGAAAATGATCCCCCAACTTAAATATTTTGTAAGTTTATAGCATCCAATATCGTCAGGCAATCCCATGGGAGTATTATGCTGTATATTATCTGATTTGCTTTTAATTACATTCACTTAAATTATGTTTATTTAAGAACTACAAAAAGGAAATTATCAAAGCATTTCAGGAGAAACACATTTTGCTTTTCACAGACAACTCTGATTTATGAATACAAAACCCTTCTTTCTATAAGACCAAAACTTTTTCTAATATATCTAAACATTTACTTTATTTAATAATTTCCATATGTGAATCCATATTATTTTTCTGATGTTCTGGTCAGCATCCTCTGATACATATTTAAAAAAATGCACTAATAATAGCTCTGTTTTAAATTATTTTTGCATTTCAATTTAGTTTTGGTTTGCCATTTTAGTAAAGTGTAAATAATTTCAAAAATTAAATAAATTAGAATCTGGAGAGAAACATTTGCTTATAGCTTTATGTCTTATCTCAAAGATGCATCCAGTGCCACCTTTATTACATACAAAACATGCACACTTCTCGTTTTTTATACTGCTGTTCTACAAATGTGTACAGTTATGTGTTTTTACTAAAAAAACAATCAAGAATCACATAAAATTGACATCTCACAAAACCTCAGCACCAAAAGAAAGGAGAAAGAAAAAATGGTGCATTATGTCTTTAAGTGAGCCACATTACACTGTATGCATGAAGAAAGTTAAGTCCAAGCTTTTTACCAAAGAGAATGAAAACTGTATGAAATGAAAATGCCCAGAAGAATGGAAAGTCATCTGGAATGATGTTACATACATATATGGGTGGTCACATAAAATACTTTTTGAGAGCACTGTTGTTTGCTACATAGATATATTTTGGTGGCATGACACACTGCCTTATTAATACTCTGCTTTTTAGAAGGGGTGCAGATATCAGAAAGCACCGAAATTTATCTACTGGAAACTGCATTTTATATATTGTTATGACATGAGGAAGATTTGCTGTAGAGGTTATTTTAAGTTTCTAACAGCTACTTTAATTTTTTAACAAGCTTTACTGCCTATTCTTGTTTCCCATCTACTATTTCCTATCAGAATAAGTTTTTAGTACAGTCAAAAGTCTTTAATCTGGACTCGTTGGGACTTCGGTCATTCCGGATTATAGATCTTCAGTTTAAATCTGGTAAGATGGCATGCAGAAATTTTAAAATTAAAAATATGAAACCGTAATTTACGAAATAAAAAGCAATTATGATCTAAAGGGTATCAAAATTTACAAAAGAAAAAAAAAAGGGTTAATCTTTGGATTATGGTAACTTAGCGATTTTTTGGCGAAAATTTGGCGACCAACCCTGCTACAGCAACCAGCTAGTTTTTGTTTGGACGACATTTTGTTTTCACGAAGTAAAGGCATGTTCTTTTTTTTACTCAACATTTTTTTCCAACAGTCTGCTAGCCGAATTACGCTTATACTAGAACTTTTGTTGGAAAATATGACCTATTGTAACCCTTTTTCTGCATCATCTCTCTTCCTTTAAATATTTCTAACTTTTTACATAAGGCTTAGTTCTTATTTTAAAGGGATATAGTAGTTATTTCTACTTCGTTTTTCACTGCCACTGTTTGTATTAAGAACGGACTGTTCCAGCCTAATTAAGATGCATAAACGAAGCTTGATGTTACGTCATATGGAAAGCCGAGTCGTGCCGATAGCTGATTGATTGCCGTGAGATGACGTCATATCTAACTTCAGGTATAAGTATCTCGCGTCGCTCTGGCTTATTCCTATTTGGTAGTGCTGGCATGAGGTGTTGCTGTTGATTAAAGAAATTGTTCTTTCTGTCTACGGCGTTACTTTTCCTGCGATTTTGTGAAGTAAGGGAAAACAACATTGCTCTCACTACTGAAGTTGATCCTGAGTTGCTGTCGTCTCTTCTTGATGTTCACGATAAGTATGTTTTCTTTATTCTTTTCGCCATTAGGTTAAAAGTTAGGATTCATGCATATCATGGACAAGGAGGCGATTGAAAACCGTATCAAATCTGTGTGTGATCACAGAAATCTGGAAATTACCTGCGATAACTTAGAAAAAATTAAGCAACTTATGCTTTCTGAGTTTCATGCTTATAAAAATTCATTTAATCCAAAAATGCGACTGAAGTTCACTTAGCCCACGTCAATGCTATGGAAAAGGATATACAAATCTTAGACTTATACATTAATGGAATGAAACAAAAAGAAACCCTAAATAATCCAACACAGGAAACAAGTCAATCTGATATTACTGCTAGTCAAAAATCTAGAATTAAAAAGAAAACCACAATAGATAAAGAAGGATACATAACCCCTAGAAATAACTCATAAAAGAACTCTATCAAATTCCGAAATTGAAGAACCAGCTCAGAAAAATAAATTCGAGGAACTAAACCCTGAAGACAATATGGAAGCAGAGTGAAGGTGAATTTATTACACCCAACAAAAAAGCAGGACACATTCCCCCTATAGTCTTAGCAGACTTCATGGGGGATTGGAACAAGAATGAAAGAAGAATTTTGAAGAGCCAATTAAATATCAAAAAATATCGTGGAAACCTAAGTGGGAGGTACACTGACCATAAGAGTTTATGACTCAGACCACTACCGCACAATTACTGAATACCTAACTAAACTACTTATTCCTTTTCATACTTTTAAACTCAGCACAGTGAAAAGCCTATCAAGGCAATAATTAAAAAAATTCCAAAAACAGCTAATATGGAACTAATCAAAAAACGAAATTGCCCAAGAAGGTATCCCAATTCAAAAAATTCGACAAGTAATTCACACTATTGAAGGAAAGAAAGTTTATCATCTTCCTGTTTTTATAGCAGAATGTACTAGAAATAAAGAAGGTAAAAGAATATATGATCTAAAGAAACTCAGAGGTCTGGATGTCTTTATCGAGCCTTTTAAAGCTCGCCCTGGACCCGTGCAGTGCCATAAGTGCCAAAGGTACGGGGGCACACACGGGACAAATGTCACTATAAACCTCGCTGTTTAAAATGTGCAGAGCCTCATGAAACATTC